AAAAAAAAAAAAAAAAAAAAAAAAAAAAAAAAAAAAAAAGAAAGAGAAAGAAAAAGCATGAAACACCTCTCCCCCTTTCTTTAAAAAAAAAGTCTTGTGCAGAGATTTAGACACGATGTTTCCTTCTTAAGTGGAAAAGACAATCACCTTGCCTTGAAAACAGATCCACAGTAGTCTTTTTTACATACTCATCTCAACTGGCTTTGTCCTCTGAAAGACACTCTGCAGCGACTGGTTTGCAATAATTGGCACAGAAGGAAGCTCCAAATAAAACACTCCTGGGTCTTCGTAAAAGCCATTGTTTGTATGCATTCAACTAAAAATCTAAAGACCAGCCTTGAACATGTATTGTTTCTTTTTTTTTTTTTAAAAAAAAAACAACAAAATGTTGATTGTGCAGTAATCTTTCCCTTCAACACATGAGAGGGCCATTAAAACCCTTCTAAAAATTGAGAGACAAGAATTAAAAATTTTTTATAGCCAGGCATCAGAGGTGCTGAAAATTAAACTGACTTAAGTGAACGGAAATATCAAGTACTGCAGCATCTTTTTAAAAATGGAGAACACTGTGTTAAGGGGAAACAAATAAGCATTTCTCCATTTTATTTGGAAAATGGATGCAAGGCTAGAACAGTGCCTTGTTATTTGAGAGGCCACTGCCCAGCTCAAAGGTGCGTCCCTTTGCACCAATTAGATCTGATCAAGCCTGGCTAGCTCCTGCTTTCAAAGGTGTTGATCAAATTGCAGAATGAGACACCCACAGCAGCATATTAAAACTATTCCCTCCAAAGCAACAAGGAAACTCTTCTCCCATCATATGTAACAAAGCAGCAGTTGGGATGCTCTTGGTCTGGTCTTAGTTAATGGTCCATATCATACAAGTTCTGCCCAATGTACAACATAAGATTAAGGGGTTTTTTTCTTCAGTTTTCCCTCTTGTACCCATGCCCCTTGATGAAAAGTGAAGCCTTTGGCAGTTCCATTACCCTCCCAGTCCAAATCCCAAATACTGTCCAATATGGTTCACAATCATGTATTTAATAAAGTATCTTGAAGGTCCATCCTTCAGTCCCAGTGACACTTCCCTCCCCCTCTTCTGGTTGATAGTTTGGGGATCCATGCACGCCAACTTAGTGGTTTTCTCCCGGTATATCATACTGTGGTCTCATGGTGTGCAGTGGGTGGGGTTTACCGTATCCTGGTGAAGAGGTTCAGAACAGACACAGACTCCTGGAAAAAGAGAAACCAGTGTTGTACCAAGATGCCCAATTCAGTTATTTGCTGAGAGATGAGTACAGTACATACAACATCACTACACTGCTGAGGAAATATTCCCCCAAGAAGCTTGCACTTGAACACAGACAAGTCTAGGGAAACAGGGTCTGGAACCCTTCAAAGGTAGGTTCAAACTCCAAGCATCCTTGTTGCAAGAGATCAGCCACTCAGAGCACATAAACATGTATAAAGGAAGAGCAAGTGCAATAATGGGAGAAATGGGTTAATTCTGTAGTACATCGTTTTCATAATCATGAGGGAATGAGTTTATTCTCCCTCCCCACTGTGCTCCCCCTTCTCAAGCCCATTCAGGACATCACGGCCCTTGACTCTACTACCTCCTTTTGTGTTTGAAGCTACTTCTTGAACAGTCCTGCAAAAGTCTATTTTTGCTGAACTATATTTTGAGGAAATCTCTATCCACAGTACCTCTCAGGGTCAAATTTACAAAATCCCCTTTTTCTTAAATTTGTTGTTTTGGACAACTCAGCTAGAAGTTAAAGGATACAGATCCCAAGGACACAACTGTAAGCATATGGCCAAGACACAACGCCATCTTGCACACGTTCTAGTGGCATGTCAGCAGCATAGCAAGATATCCAGTGTTATAAACGCAGATTAAAAACAATGTTGTGCTTAGCTGTGATACTCATCTCCGGGTGCATCTACACAAGCAACTAAGGTAATGCAATAAACTCCGGCGCAGTTCACGTCAGAGACAACTGTGCCTGGACACAGTGTCTGCATGTATGCCTGGGACTGAGGTGAGTCTGACTGTTCTGTAGTTCCCTGGATCTTTTTTTGTCCCTTTCTTAAAGATGGGCACTGTCACCATGAGTTTTAAAAAAAATAATGGCCAGAGGCTCTGCAATCACATCAGCCAACTGCCTCAGCACTCTTGGATGCATTGCATCTGGCCCCATGGACTTGTCCATGTCCAGCTTTTCTAAATAGTCCCTAACCTGTTTTTTCACCACTGAGAGCTGCTCACCTTCTCCCCAAACTGTGCTGCCCAGTGTAGTAGTCTGGGAGCTGACCTTGCCTGTGAAGACAGAGGTAAAAAAAGGCATCGAATATTTCAGCCTTTTCCTCATGATCTGTCACCAGGTTAACTCCCCCATTCAGTAAGGGACGCACACTTTCCTTGACCTTCCTCTTGTTTGCCAACATGCTTGTAGAAACCCTTCATGTCCCTTGCTAGCTGGAACTCCAATTGCGCTTTGGCCTTTGATTTCATCTTTGCATGCACAAGCAATATTCTTATACTCCTCCCTAGTCCTCTGCCCAAGGTTCCACTTCTTGTAAGCTTCCTTTTTATGTTTAAGTCTACTCAAGTGTTCTCTGCTAAGCCAAGCTGGTCACCTGCTGTATCTGCTGTTCTTCCAGCACACTGGAATGGTTTGTTTCTGTGTCCTCAGTAAGGTTTCTTTAAAAATAGAAACGTGTAGATTGTGATGCTCTACTGTGGAGCTAATTAGTCAACTCCACACTAACGTGCACATGTAGATGCATCCCGTGTGAAGACCTAATGTGTAACTTTCAACCGAGGATCACAAACCCCTTTAACCTTATGCCCAGGCTCTGACCCTGGCCCCACTCCCATGACGACTTACTGCACAAACAACTACGGGAAAGAATATACAAGAGGTGAATTGATCATGCAAGAGAAACACCCAGAAAGCTGACAGCACAGCTAACCATTAAGCCTCATCCTTGGTGACTCCTCCCCTGATGGACCTAGTTTGCTCCAGAAACTGACCACTAGAGACTATGGATTTTACCTTTGTTGAGCGGGTTTTGCTGAAAACATTCCAGAATCTCAGGGTTTCATCTCCAGCTCCTGTAACTATGGCTTCTCCATCAGGAGACATTGCCTAGGGCAAAGAGAGAGAATAAAGAGACTGCAAAATACATTTTACTGAGTGATCGCAATCCCCATCCCCCCACCCCCATTCTCCAGCAGCATTTGCTCTGAATGGCCACCTTAGATGATCAGGCAGGAGGAAATCAAATTGTAAAATTTGGGAATAGACCTTATTTACATTCTACAGGATACTCAGGGGTAACTCCTACCTTTGGATCTCATTCCTGCCTAAAGCGATGTTTTATTTAAACCTCAAGGGGATATGCATTAGCCTATTATAAAAACAGCAATGAGATACAGAAGTGTTGTTGGCATTTTAAGCCCTGTTAATTACACAAATGATTTACTTCTAAAACACACTCTGGCTAGTACATATCCCTTCAACAGATTTGACTCATGGTGTTTTCTAGTGAAGCCTCCCAAAAGCACTATGCGAGTGAAGGCTATGCACATAAGGTGAACAAGAGAAGAATCTATCCAGAGACAGAGGTGGATTAAACAAACAAAAAAAACCAAAAACCAACTAACCAAAAAAATATCACACTGGACATTTTATACTGTACTAAAAAGAAGAAACACAGAGAACAGAAAATGGAAAGAGGGGAGAAGAGTAGAGTAAAGAGCTTTTTATGCCAAAGCAGCAGCTGGCTTTTACTACCTTAAGATCTAATTACCATGCTCCTTTGGGAATGAGAGAAGCTCACTTTTGGCAAGTTTTGACACCTGTCAAGATGTAAAATTCACCATACAATGTGAAGTGTCAAGTCAAGAAGCCTATTCCATGTCAACAAGCGGGAAGAGCCAAATTATCAATGGCCCTGCTACACGCAGTTTTGATTAACAAATGGCTACAGAGAATCATAGAAAATTAGGGTTGGAAGGGACCTCAGGAGGTCTAGTCCAACCTCCTGCTCAAAGCAGGACCATCCCCACCTACATCATCCCAGCCAAGGCTTTGTCTAGCTGGGCCTTAAAAACCTCCAAGAATTGAGATTCCACCACTTCTCTAGGCAAGCCATTCCAGTGCTTTATTTTTTTAATATCCAACCTAAGCTTCCACTGCTTCAAGTTGAGACCACTGCTCCTTGCTGTCATCTGCCACCACTGAGAACAGTCTAGTTCAGAGGTGGGCAAAATGATGGATCCAGCTGGCAGCTGGATTCCATTTCCCAACAGCTCCTGCCTGCATCGCTGCAGCCAGTTTCCATGGGGACCCCAGCAGCATGGGGCCAGGATTTCTAGAGACTGGCTCCAGCAGCGTGGGCAAGTCACACGGCTGTGCAGGGAACTGCACTGCAAGATCCCAGCCCCGGAGCAGCTCCTCGCCCAGCCATGTGCCATGCCAGCGCTGCTCAGGCTAGGCTCCATGGAAACCCTGGCCCTGCACTGTCATACACACACTGCTGGCTCATATATAAAACTTACTGCCCACTGTAACCCTCAAGTCCTTTTCTGCAGTGCTGCTGCTTAGCCAGTTGGTCCCCAGCTTGTACCACTGCATGGGATTCTTCCATCCTAAATGCAGGACTTTGCACTTCTCCTTATTGAACCTCATGAGATTTCTTTTGGTCAAATCTTCCAATTTGTCTAGGTCTCTTTGAATCCTAGCCCTACCCTCCAGCGTATGCACTACTCCCCCACAGCTTGGTGTCACCTGCAAACTTGCCAAGGGTGCACTCCATCCCATCTTCCAGGTCACTGATGAAAATATTGAACAAAACCAACCCCAGTATTGACCCCTGGGGCACTCCACTTGATACTGGCTGCCAAACAGACATGGGGCCATTGACTACTACCCTCTGGGTGTTTATACATGTGCTCCAAGAGGTTCATAGACATTAGGGCTGGAAGGGACCTCAGAAGATCATCAAGCCCAGCCCCCTGCCCAAAGGGCAGGAAGTCAGCAGGGGTCATAGGTTCCCAGCAAGATGGGCATCCAAATGTCTCCTGAAGACATTTAAGGTAGGTGCCTGAACTACCACCGGCAGCAGTCTATTCCAAACCTAGGGGGCTTGGACAGTAAAGAAGTTCTTCCTTATGTCCAGACTGAAACGGTCATGGTGGAGTTTGTGACCGTTGGATCTTGTCATCCTTTGGGGTGCTCTGGTGAACAGACGTTCCCCCAGACCCTAGTGAGCACCTGATAAACTTCTAGGTGGCCACCAGATCACCTGAGCCTGCGCTTTTCCAGGCTGGAGTCCCATGGCTCTCAGCCTCTCATTGTAAGGTCTGTTTTCCTGACCTCTTATGTGCGTGGCTGTCCGCTGGACTCTCTCAAGCTTCTCCACATCCTTTTTGAATCGTGGAGACCAAAACTGGATGCAGTACTCCAGCTGCGGCCTCATCAGGGCCGAATACAATGGAAGAATGACACCCTGGGATTTGCTTGAGAAGCATCTATGGATGCAAGCCAGTGTTTTGCTTGCTTTATTAGCTGCAGCATTACATTGAAGGCTCATGTTCATCTTGTGGTCAATCATGACCCTCAAGTCCCTTTTGTCTGAAGTGCTAGCCAGCGTAGCACTGCCAAGCCTATAAGCATGCTGTGGGTTTTTCCTCCCAAGGTGGAGAAACTTGCATTTTTCAGTGTTAAACACCATCAGGTTCTCATCTGGCCATTTCTTGAGGCTGTTGAGGTCAACTTGGATTGCCCTCCTGTCCTCAGGTGTGGACACTTTACCCCAAAGTTTGGTGCCGTCGTCAAACTTGGCCAGTCCGCTTCTGACGCCAATGTCCACATAGGTGTTAGGGGCACTTTAATTACCGCAGGTCCAAGAGTTGCGCTAATTAAAAGCGCCCAGAGTGTCATGTGTATCAGCACCCCTGTGCTGAAAAATGACAGCAGGGCACTTTAAAAGTGCCCCACTGGCATTTTTCAGCGTGGGCATGCTGATGCCTGTGATGCTGGGGGCTGCTGGAGTGCGTCAGTTTCCATACTGCAGCAGAATCAATTAATCAAATCTGCTCCAACGCTCTACAGCGCATTGGAGCAGGCTCCCTGCATGTGTATAGGAGCACTCTCAGCCCAATGATTCAGACAGTTTTCTATGTACTTTACAGTCCACTCATCCAACCTGTACTTCCTTAGCTTGCTTGCGAGAATGTTGTGGGAGACCGTATCAAAAACCTTGCTGAAGTCATGAATCCAGCTGAAAGCAGCCCTTGGATTCCATCACTGTACGTAGTCACAGCAGAATCAGAAGCTACAGAAGAGTTGGTTAAAAAGGTATGGATTATAGCTTACCAGGTATAAAACTCTGTATGAATGCCCCGTTAGCTTTGCTACTTGGGTTAGTGAGGGGTATTTCCAGACGAGAATCTGGTTCTGCGAGTATCCATGAGTACTCACCTGCAGGAGGAGGAAAAGACAAGACAGTCAGGGGCTCAGTTCCCAACACCTGAAGATTAGCAGCAGGACACTGAATAGGGAAGCACTTACTAATTCATTGGCATGTTTGGACCAGGCCAGATTGCACACTTGTGACCCAGTATCAATACACTGTAAAGGCTGCCCAGTTAAAGTGTTCCAGAAACGTATGCAGCGATCTGCTGTCCCGCCACCTGAGGCCAGCAGGCCATGCTGATGCGGAGACCATGCGATAGCTTTCACTGCTGCTAGGTGTTCCGTGTACTGCTGAACGGGACTCAGGCTGGAGTGATTCCAGACAAGGAGCTAGTGGAAAGAAGAAACAAGATAAATTAAGCACATGTACCACCTTCTAGTCTCCAAACCCCTACACTAAAAAAGGAAATAGTGCCAGCCAAAGCTAGACAGAGCGAAAGCAGAACAGCTCAGCCTGAACAATTCTGCCAGCACGCCTCCATCTTGAGTATTTTAGATTCCTGAAATGGGACCTTTCCTCTGAGCCACCAAACATGCTCAAACTGAGGAGGGATTTTGCAATTTGAGCCTAGGATAAAATCCCAAAGCTCATTTCCTTTGAGCCTTAGCCAGGGTCTGAATTCTGGTCCATGAATGTGAACAGCAAGGCCTTTATCTTGCTTTGTGACTGAATAATCCAGCCACATCACAAGACAAAAAGTCTTATTTATTGGAGGAGGAGTGCCAAAACTGGCAATACTCTGTACGCATGACTTTGGTCCAATATACATCCCATAAGTTACCTGTGCAGGAATCTATTCCAAAAGGTGCTCTCAGAACCACTTCTTAGAAACACAGGATATTTCTCTATACTCACTGGTAAACTGCAAGCTTGCATTGCATACACCAAATTCAAAAACTTACATTTGCAGGAGGGAGTTTAATATAAATTATTTTGAATGGCAAAATGTTGCCCCCACGCACTCCCCCAGGCCCCCATGGCTGCCCCACATGCTGCAGCTACAGCCCTTTAAGAAAAAGAAAAAAAAGCAAAAAACCCCCCAGACTCACCTGCTCCTGCAGTGGCCTTGGGGCTTCCAGGGGCTCATGCAGAGCCTCCCACACAGCACAGAACAGTGAGGAGCAGCGGGGAATCACCCCCTGCCAGGCACGACCTGTTGAGTCAGGGCTTTTCTTTCTTTTAAAAAAGGCCTAGAGCTGGGCCGGGCTGGGCAGAGCCCCCACCACTCAGCATGGGGCAGTGGGGATCGCCCCCCTGCCAGATAACACCTGGCGAGTCTGAAGCAAATACTAGCCACTTTGCACAGGCCTCCTAACAGACTATTAATCTCCATTTACTTTAGTAAATGGTAGAAGACTAGAAAGGGTAGTAGGTTAGCTTTGCTCTTCCTCAAATATAGCCAAATTAAGTCCAATTAGCAAGTTGACAGGAAAAAAAAAACATCCTTAAAAACATTGTAAATGAGGCTGCAACTTAAATAAAAAAGAAGGCATATGCTTGAAGGAAGGAAAACTTTCTTGAAATTGGCAGTGAAAGTTCAGAGATGAGGTCAAATTTCTTTCTAACAAAAACAGTACTATACCTTGTTATCATTTCCACCGGATGCCAGGAGTTGGTGGTCTGTAGACCACTTTAGCCCACACACCTCCTGCCTGTGGCCCTGAAGCCGCCGCTCAGATTGTAGTGGTGGGGTCCGGATGTCTCTCTGAAGGATCATTCTGTCCCGACTCCCAGAAGAAAGTTGGTCTGCGTTCCATGCCAAGGCGCCTGTGAAGCAAGCAAAGCACAGTGAGATATTTGATGCAGTCATTAATAGC